TTTCCGTACTTATCGTTATGTACTATATATCAGATTAAGGGATCGACAATCATTTAACTCAAATTTAGTTATCAATATCAATATCGATTACGTATACGTTTATTTATGCAAGAAACCATATCGATATCAGCATAATTTAAAATTTTTTTTATCACTTAAAGGGTTCGACTATTTTATTTCAATAATAAAAAAAATAATTTTTTTGGCATTAGATCTAGCAAAGACTTATCACGTGATGAGCAACTCGAAAATTCCTCTATAGATGAAGATGATATTGACATAAGAAGATACATGAATACGCTAGAATAATCTTATTACATTCAGACCTCGATATATCGTTTGAATATGCCAAATCTCAAAATGGTTTCGACTTGATTGAATCTGACAAATATGGTTCAATAAATTATTTTCATTCAATAAACGAATAATTTCACTTGACAAATTTTGCTTAAATGTCCGATTTTATTTTCTAGTAGTTTGTTCTCATTTGTCAATGATTCAATTTTTACACGCGCTGAAATTGTAAAGAATAAAATTTAGCAAATAACTAGGTTAGTACGAGCATCATCATGTGTCATTGTGGACAGACATTCTCTTCATATGTAATGTTTTTGATTTATTTATATTTTGAATTGATTTTGTCTTAAAACATAACTTTGTTGTCATACTCATAAGCCGCTACGTTCCAGACAATTGATCAAATCATAAAAATGAATGCTTGCCTTCTTTTAATATTTCAACTTTACTCATTTTATATATCGACAAATAGTCTTTAAGTTTTTTTAAAGAATCATTAATTCTTGCATGTCGTATTTGCTCATATCTTTTACGTTTAAGGCGTTTTAATTCAGTATTATCACTTCTTATAGATCTCTTAGGAAACAATTGAAACATCGTCAGATCAGAAGATAGAAAATTTGCGTTATTTTTTTGTTGTTGTTCAACGAATTGATATCTTTATTTTTAATAGAAAATGATATATTCGGATCAAACCTAATTTTTAACAAAAATTTTTAAGTTTATAAACAAGGGACTATATTAAAGTTGATATATATGAGGGAATTTTAATATATAAAAATTTATAAAATTCATCTTATTGCTTGGGTTGATATCAACGAGGTTGATATTAACGAGGGTAGACTGTACTAACTTTTAAACATTATAATTTTGTAAATAAAAAACTATAAATATATGGGATTTAATTTATAGTGCTATAGCACTATGGTACTAGGGTATTGTAACCAATTAAAATTTAAGATCAGTTGTAACATGTAAATCACTCTTTTGTGTAACAAATATAATAAAATTTTAAAAAACTAGTTATATCTTAAAATTTTGATTAAAAAACCATCTTTTGTATTTTAATAAAAAAAATTTCTTGCAAAATTTTAGTATAAACTATGCTTTGCCAAAGTTTGCTTTAGCTTTAATCTAATACTAATTAAAAGCTTTATTTTTTGTACAAAAAAGATTGTTTTGATTTACATATTACACCAATTGTATATCTACATATAGGGTAGCACCATAGTGCTATAGCACTATAATAATATTCCCTTATATATTTAATTAGATATCTTAATAGTTAAAATAGTAAAAAAATATTGGCTTAAAAAATTGGGTAATAAATCACAAATAAATATCAAAAATGTATAGCTAATAAAATGTGTATTGTAAGTGTATAAAAAAAAATCTTTAAACAAAAGAATCTTTCTTTAACATGAAAAAAAATAATAGTACGAGCCCTTATAAAAATAATAATAATCAATTTATATTGCATAATCGGACTTATGTAAGAGACATGTTTTCTATAGATTTGAACAGAACGAATAATTCTTCCTCTAATACTTCTTCAAATGATAATGCCAATTCTTCTTCTGATGAAGCATTTTTAAATAAATCATTTATAAGCTTTTCATTTGATGATGAAGCATTTTTATATCCGCTCATTAAACCATGTGTATTTGGTTGATTATAAGTTTCATCAGAGCGAGCACCCACAACTTCTTGTATTATGCTCATTATTTGTTTGAATTTTTCGTTAGACTCAGACAATTCTAATAAGATTACTTCATCACTTTGCCATTTTGAAATAGTCTGTATGATTTTTGTTGAATATGGACGTCTTTCTGACTCTTTATCCCAACACTGTTTCATTAAATTAACGTAATGTGTTTCAGCAAAAATTGGTGGCCTTAATTCATCGAGCACTATTTTCCTTTGCAGTTCTGATCCAAATAATTTATTATATACTATATTATAGAACGAAGCTATTGGTATCCCATACAAAATTTCCCACATAATCATACCAAAAGAGTAAATATCAGATGCTGTAGTATATGATTTTTTTTCTAAAACTTCTGGTGCTATATATGGTAAAATTCCGAAAACACTATCAGCTTCTTTTAAATCTATGTTAGTTGATGTTGCAAGTCCTAAATCTGCAATATATGCATTGCTTAAATTATCTTGTAATATATTGCCACTATGTAAATCCCGGTGGATGAGTCCTAGAGAATGAATTATTTGAAGATCAGATGCACTACAATCCAACAATTTTAATTTATTTGTCATTTCCATCTGTGCTACTGCGACAAGATTTTTACGTAAAGACCCCATTAGTGCATGCTTCATGACAAGAATATATTTTCCGGAAATGTCATGTTTTGATATTCCGTAACATTTTAAAAATGTTGAAGTTTTATTGCCAATATCACGGTATGCTTTTAACTAAAGTATTAAAAGAAAGTTAGAATAAAATAACTTCAAAATTTTATACATATTGATGCATAAATAAATTTACTTCTTTTAAAAATTCTTCACGATACTCTTTCGATTTATGAAGCAATTTAAGAGCAACAGGTAGTTTAGCTTGTCGATTTGGATCTAACCAGTTAGCATAATATATTGTTCCAAATCCGCCTTTTTCTATTTCTTGGATATTTACAAATTGATTATAAGGAATCCAAGATAATGGATTTTTGCTTTCAATTAATATTTTCTTTAAACCCACATCAATCTCTGAATTATCATATATCTGCCTGTTTTTGGCTTAAAAAGTTTATATGTTAAAATATTAATTATTACTTAGCAAATTAATTAATTAATTATAATTATTTACTTGTAATTTGTTTCCTATCTCTAAATAAGCAATTTTAAAAAGATAATTTTTAACCTTTAGCTAATAAAAAGAATAATAATAATTTAAAAATATTTACTTCTGGTACCATTCATCAGCTTTTATTAAGTTCCTTGCTACTCCAATTGAATTTCGATAACAGTCACCAAGTGCAAAAATTCCATTAGAATCACCCATCTCAGCAGATTTTTGGTAATAAATGAATGCCATGCGTTCATCTTTTTCAACTCCAACTCCATATTGATAATAATCGGCAACATTTTTCATTCCAAGAGAATCACCTATATCAGCAGATTTTTTAAAATAAACAAATGCCTCATATTCATTCTTTTCTACACCAATTCCCTTCTCATAACAATCTCCAATTCTATTATAACATTTTCCAATATTGTTTGCACTAATAGTATTGCTTATATCAACAGATTTTCGATAATGAGTAAATGCATTATATCCATCTTTTTCAACTCCAATTCCTTCTTCATAACAACGGCCAACATTATATGTTCCAACAGGATTACCCATATTTGCAGATTTTTGATAATAAATAAATGCTTTATGCTCATTCTTTTCGACTCCAATTCCCATATAATAACAATCACCAATATTATTTGTCCCATAAGAGTTTCCCATTTCAGCAGATTTTTGAAAATAAGTAAATGCTTTATGCTCATCCTTTTCAACCCCTAATCCTTCACAGTAACAACAGCCAGTATTGAACATTCCACTAGTGTTTCCCATCTCTGCAGATTTTTGATAATAAGTGAATGCCTTACTTTCATCCTTTTCAACTCCAATCCCATTTACATAACAGACACCAAGTGCAAATATCCCACTGGCATTACCCATATCAGCAGATCTTTGGTAATTCATAAATGCCTTATGTTCATCTTTTTTAATACCAATTCCTTTTTTAAAACAGTCACCAAGACTGACTATCCCATTATCATTTCCCTCATCAGCAGATTTTTGATAATAAATAAATGCCTTATGTTCATCCTTTTCAACACCAATACCATTTTCATAACAGTCACCAAGACTGACCATTCCATTATCATTCCCCATATCGGCAGATTTTTGATAATAAATAAATGCCTTATGTTCATCCTTTTCAACTCCAATTCCTTGGTGATAACAAATTCCAACATTATATGTCCCATAAGTATTTCCCATCCCTGCAGATTTTTGAAAATAAATAAATGCCTTATGATCATTCTTTTCGGTTCCAATTCCTTGGTAATAACAAGTTCCAACCATAAATGCTCCGCTAGGATTACTCATTTCTGCTGATTTATGATAATAAATGAATGCCTTGCGTTCGTCCTTTTCAACTCCTATTCCATAGTAATAACAAGATCCAACATTATATATTCCACTATCATTCTCCATATCAGCAGATTTTTGATAATAAACGAATGCTTTATGTTCATCTTTTTCAACACCTACTCCGTAAAAGTAACAATGTCCAACATTATATGTTCCACGATCATCACCCATCTCCGCTGATTTTTGATAATAAATGAAAGCTTTATGCACATTCTTTTCAACTCCAATTCCATTAAGATAACAGTGACCAACACTATACGTTCCACTAGTGTTACCCATCTCTGCTGATTTCTGATAATAAACAAATGCCTTACGTTCATCCTTTTCAACTCCAATTCCTTTAAAATAACAGTTACCAAGATTAACCATTCCATCTGCATCTCCCATATCAGCAGATTTTTGATAATAAACGAATGCCTTATGTTCATCTTTTTCAACACCAATTCCTTTTTTATAGCAGTGACCAACATTATTTATTCCTTCAATACTACCCATTTCTGCTGATTTTTGGTAATAAATGAATGCCTTCTGTTCATCATTTTCAACTCCGATCCCATTAAGATAACAGTATCCAACTCTATATGTTCCACTAATATTATTCATCTCTGCTGATTTCTGATAATAAACAAATGCCTTACGTTCGTCCTTTTTAACTCCAAGTGCATTTATGGAGGTAAAATATATATTTGGGCCGGCACTTGAGTGTGCATTTAGAGAGGGTATGCATTTATAGAGGGTGCACTATCAAATCTTTTAAAATGTTTTTTTTG